AAGGAAGGAAGGAAGAAAGGAAGGATTTCAATCAGAAGTCATAGAGAGATTCACAGTCACTCAAATGAACTCTGACCCTGACAGTCAGCAGGAGACACACCCACCAGCGAACTACAGTAACATGAAGTAATTTACTTAAATATAAAGTTGAAGTTGTTCCTTTTATTCAGACTCCATGATTTCCACCTGTGACATCAAACATGATGTTTGTAATAAAAGCACCAGAGGAACAAAAACTCGGCTGGATTTGAACTCAGGACCTTCTTTCTGTGAGGCAACATTAAGAACAGAAACATGATGTGAGCAAGGTGAGCAGAGGTGACAGAGGCTGAGGCCATCGCCAGATCCTCCAGGTAAACCAGGGCCATCACAGGTGACCCCGCCCACCACCTGTTTGACCCACTGCTCTCTGGTCTGTGCCTCAGGTCAGTCAGGTGCCACACCTCCAGACTCACTAACAGCTCCTTCCCCCACCCCTGCCCACCAATCTGAGGCACGGTCTGAGTGACCTTCATCAGTCAGGACGCTCACACAGACTCTATTAACTCTTTGTACTGATTTCAAACACTCCTGCTCCTTTCTCCTGCTCTTTTATTTATTCCTGTTGTCTAATATGTCTGTGTCACTCCTGCACTGTTGCTGTTGAGCAGAATAAATTGTTGGTATAAGAGAACAAATCGTTTTGATTGACTTTTCAGACATAAATGATTCAAACACGTCACCAGGTGAAGCTTCCTCTGGCCTGCTGTGACGTTCCACCTGTGCCTCAGGTGATCATTTTATCTCAATGCATCCTCCAGCGTCTGAGCCTCTCCGAGAGGCCGCCCAGCTGGCTGCTTCCTGCTGAAGGGAAAGCTTAACAGGAAGTGGATAAATCAGCACAACAGGAAGTGAGATTTTAGAGCCTTAGCAGGCTGGACGAGCACAGGCAGCAGTTTGAGACGTTTGAGCACACTGATCAATCACTCAGATCATGAGTTCACAGGACACGAGAGAAATGGTGGGA